GGTCCAGGGTGGAAGAAAATGGGGGGCTGGGGAGTCCTGGGGGCATTTTTGGGGTCCCTGGTTGGGTATTGGGAGTGCTGAGGGGGCTTTGGGGTCCTGGGGCGGTCCTGGGGGGGTCCTATGGGGTAAGGAGAGAGAGAAAATGGGGTGGATTGGGGGGTCCTGGGGGGGTCTTGTCCCCCGTGTCGCCATGTTGCTAGGCCTCATCTCCCATTTCTATCCCCAAACCTCCAATTTTTGGGGTCCTGACCCCACTCTACCACCACCCCAAATTTGAGGGATCCCCACGCTGACCTCTTTTGTCCCCTCTGTTCTCTCCTTTGCCCCATATCCCACCTGAGGCCCAGAGTTCCCTCTGGTTTCCATGGTAACCAACCATCCCAATGGCGGCCGCCATGTTGCTAGGCCTCATCTCCCATTTTACCCCAAATCTCCTATTTTTGGGGTCCCGACATCCCCAAACCACCACCCCAAATTTGAGGGACCTCCGTGTTGACCCTCCATCCTCTCTGTACCATTCTGCCCTCCTTATCCCACCTGAGACCCACAGATCTGTTTTGTTTCCATGGTAACCAAGCATCCCAATGGCAGCCGCCATGTTGCTAGGCCTCACCCCTCATTTTTACCCCAAAATCTCCAATTTTGGGGGTCCTGACACCCCCAAATCACCACCCTAAATTTGAGGGACCCCCCTTTTGTCCCCACTGTCCTCTCTTTTGCTTCATGTTCCTCCTGAGGCCCACAGTTCCCTCTGGTTTCCATGGTAACCAACCATCCCAATGGCGGCCGCCATGTTGCTAGGCCTCACCCCTCATTTTTACCCCAAAACCTCCAATTTTTGGGGTCCCGATGCCCCCAAACACCACCCTAAATTTGACTGACCCCCCCCCATGTCCCTCCCCCCAGCTGCTGAACTGCCAGTCCATCCCCGAGGTCCAGGTGACGGCGTGTTTGGTGTGGAAGGACTGGCCGCACCGCGTTCACCCGCACGGCCTGGTGGGCAAGGATTGCAGCAATGGGCTCTGCCAGGTGCGGCTGCAGCCCCACAGCAACCCCAGGCACAGGTGGGTGACGGCAGCCATATTGCGCCCACTTCCATCCCAGTGCCCTACTGGTCCCAGTGCCCGATCCCAGCGCTGTACTGGTCCCACTTCCCATCCCTGTGCCCTACTGGTCCCACTTCCCAGTTCCAGTATGCAATCCCAGTCCCCTACTGGTCCCACATCCCAGTACCCAATCCCCTACTGGTCCCACATCCCAGTCCCAGTATCCAATCCCAGTTTCCTACTGGTTCCACTTCCCGGTTCCAGTATCCAGTCCCAGTCCCCTACTGATCTCACTTCCCACTTCCAGTACCCTACCGGTCCCAGTGCCCAATCCCAGAATCTTACTGGTCCCACTTCCCAGTCCCAGTACCCAATCCTAGTTTCCTACTGGTCCTATTTCCCAGTTCCAACACCCTACTGATCCCACATCCCAGTCCCAGTGCCATACTGGTCCCAGTGCCTGATCCCAGCACCCTGCTGGTCCTATTTCCCAGTCCCAGTGTTCTACTGGTCCAAGTGCCAGATCCCAGTACCATACTGGTCTCAATGCCTGATCCCAGCACCCTACTGGTTCCACTTCCTAGTCCCAGCACCACACTGGTCCCACTTCCCATCCCCAGTGCCCTACTGGTCCTGCTTCCCGGTCCCTGTGCCGTACTGGTCTCACTTCCCAGTCCCAGTACCATACTGGCCCCAGTGCCTGATCCCAGTGCCCCACTGGTCCCACTTCCCAGTTCCAACACCCTACTGGTCCCACTTCCCAGTCCCAATACCCAATCCCAATGCCATACTGGTCCCGCTTTCCATCCCAGTGCCATACTGGTCCCAGTGCCTGATCCCAGCACGCTCCTGTCCCACTTCCCATCCCAGTGCCGTACTGGTCTCAGTTCCCATCCCCAGTGCCCCACTGGTCCCATTTCCCATTCCCAATCACCATACTGGTCCCATTACTGACTCCCAGTCCCCATACTGGTCCCATTGCCCACTCCCAATCACCATACTGGTCCCAGTCCCCACTCCCAGTCCCCACGCTGACCCCATTGTCCACTCCCACTCCCCATACTGGTCCCATTGCCCACTCCCAGTGTCCATACTGGTCCCAATCCCTACTCCCAGTCCCCATACCGATTCCATTTCCCACTCCCAGTCCCCATACCGGTCCCAGTTCCCATTCCCAGTCCCCATACTGGTCCCAGTTCCCATTCCCAGTCCCCATGCTGGTCCCAGTTCCCATTCCCAGTCCCCATACTGGTCCTATTGCCCTCTCCCAGTCACCACACTGGTCCCAGTGCCCTCTCCTAGTCCTCATACTGGTCCCAGTGCCCACCCCCAGTCCCCATACTGGTCCCAGTTCCCATTCCCAGTCTCCACAGAAACCCCATTTCCCACTCCCAGTCCCCATACTGGTCCCATTCCCCACCTACGCTATGGGTGGCTCTATAGGGCTGCATGTGGGGTGGGGGTCAATTTATGGGGTGGGGTCTCACCCCCCCCTTCTCCCCTCTTCCCCCCCCCCTTAATCAGCTTCAGCAACCTGGGGATCCAATGTGTGAAGAAGAAGGAAATCGAGGCGGCCATCGAGAAGAAGCTGCAGCTGGGCATCGACCCCTTCAAAGGTGCGGGGTTTTGGGGGGGCAGGGGGGGTTTCCTGCCCCATTATGGGGTCCTGACCCCCCCTCCCCAAATTGGGGACCCCCCCCGAACAGCCGGCTCGCTGAAGAACCACCAGGAGGTGGATATGAACGTGGTGAGGATCTGCTTCCAGGCGTCGTATCGCGACGGCAACGGGAGGACGCGACAGCTCAGCCCGGTGCTGTCGGAGCCCATCTTCGATAAGAGTAGGGAACTGGGAGCACTGGGAGCACTGGGAGGGGACACTGAGGGGGTCTGGG